TATATATATCAGTCATATATGTAAGTAATATAATAACCAAGTCAGGATAACTACGTTAAATGATAAAACAATTCATCTAGTGTTGAAAAAATGAAAACAAAACATATTGTGCCACAGTGTTTGTGAAGGGTTAGTGGAACATATTCATAGTTAATGTGATTCTCTACAATCTACTAGTGTGAAACTGATGTCAGTACACTACATGTGGTTTTGTGTGTTATGTGGGTTCAGTCTTACCCTATAATAGGCCAACTGTAGCGCAATCTGAATGAAGGCATCCGGGCTGATTTTACACTTTTTGATTGCACCTTTGCCAAAGTCTTGAATTGGCAACACATGAAAGTCGACGTCATCGGCTAGTGTCTGTGCCACAGCGAGAGAGCGTTCGATACGCTCCTGACACTAAATACACATACAGGAAGATGAATTATTCAATGTGTCCATTAGCGGTCACTGTATAAAGCATGTCTGTAAACATGAGAAGGTGTGACGGTGTGTTTGTACCTCTGCAGGTATGTCCCAGGTTAGTCTAGTAGGTGGAGGAAGGGAGGAGGCGACGTCTCCTTTACAGTGACCTTCTTCAGTATAACCCAGTTGGAAACAATCGGTAGTCATCACATACTGAGAGAGAAAGAGAGACAGCGGTGAACTTAAAATGAAATAAAGTCAAATATAAAAATTCAATGAAAAACAAACTTTAAAAAACTTAAACAAAAGTTAGAAATATTGCCTTGGCAAATATCTGAAATAAAGTAAATTACTAAAATTAAAACAAAACAAAAAAAAACAAAGAGAACAATAAAAAAAAACTACAAAAAAAAGACAAAAGCACATAAAACTACTTAAACTATAATTAAAGAAAACTGAACATATAAAAATAAAAGCTAACTCAAAATATTTTATTTTATTTATTTATTTTACATTTAGATTACCTTCACCATCATCTAAAACTAAAACTCGTAAAACTTTTAGAAACATAAATACGTTCATAATGCAGTTAAATGTAATCTTTAGTAAAATTCTAAATTAATATACATTTTAATACTGCACATTATAGTCGTGATGCCTAAATTCACTAACAGGATTTAAAATGATCAATTTAATTTTTTACAGTTTTTTTTTTTATTTAGACAAAATAGAGCAGAATTTTTATATCGGCCATAACATTAACAAAATAACTACCTGATTATCGTTTTCACAGCTTCCCTATTATGTAAGAATGATTTATTCAAACTAGATTATGACATGTTACTCTTAAGACAAGAATGATTCCTGTGAACCACCAACACCATTATTTAGCTTATCTGATATTATACTTAATTAATTTCTTTATTATCTAAAAACATTTTCTTTTTTAACTCGTTCTTTCTCTCACCTCCCACACGTGAGCCATTATAGGTGCATCCGCCCAGGAGTGTTCAGCATTGAGGCCGTTCTTCCCATTCTTATACAACACCACAGTGAACGACTTATCAAACCACCTGAAACACAAATACAGTGTAAAACACTGCCATAGTAAAGACAGAGACTATGATGTCTGGCTGTGTAAGAGACAATTTATTCGATTTACAGTTCAGATTACATTTAGCATCTTTGTAACATAACTGATGGATGAATTTGGACGAACATCTCACCTGTCGTAGCACTTGCCATGCAGAAGGGACTTGGCGTAGCGATCCAAATTGCCGGCAGGATCATCTCCCATCATGCCTTGTTCGTCATCATCTAGGGCAACGAAGAACGCGGCTTTCTCAATGCAGTCCAGAGATCTCTTATTCACTCCTGAGCTGAAGAACTCCTTCCTGGCCTGAGCCCAAGGGACTCTGGGAAATGAAGTTCAAAACATCTGAGCATTCATAGCAAGAATTTGAAGAAAGAATCGAAACTTAATTCTAAAGAAAATTCTTAAAGATCCTTATTTTAGATTCTAAAGAAAATAAACTTTTATAATCTTATTATATAAGATTTTATAATGTTTAGGTTTTATTTAAGTGAAATGGAAGGATTCTTAATATAAATGCATATGAAATAACGAAATCAGGGTTGCTATATTTAATAATTTTTGTCTTCTATTTAATAAAAATACAAAAACACAACAAAATTACTAAAGCTTTAAAATTACAATGAAAATAAAATACAAAATAAAATTCACAAGATTTTAAAAAACTATAACAGTCTCTCAAGGATACTAAAATACATTACATTTTTGTTTTTTAACATATTTACACACACACACACACATACAGTGGGTACGGAAAGTATTCAGACCCCCTTGATTAATAAATAAATAAACTTATGAATAAAGTTATTAATAAATATTAATAAATACAACCAGCGAATATTAATACTTCGGTTAAGGTTTTGTGTAAATCACTAACACTAAATATGAGTAATAATAATACAGATGCTGCTTTGGAAAACACAACTGATAAATTAAACTGAATTTTAAGTCCATACAAATGGTCTTAATTCTTGATTTATATTGACTGTATCTTGGCCTACTTCCATAAAAGCAGTATTTTAATTATTTCTTCACATATGGAACACATGCATGTTTGTTTTCAAATAAAATCTTTATAGTGCGTCAGCAGACACTACCTGTCCCCTGCTGTCAGGGCTGCGAGTTTGGCCTCTACGGTCACCGGGGGTGACGGGTCGTCCAGGATATGCTGAATCTGGTGCTCGATCTCTCTGGGAGACAGCATGCGGCCGGCATGGTACAGCCACAGGCGGAAATAACGGCCTCGGTGGAACACCGCCACATACTCACTGTCCTGCCAGTGGATCAGGGAGTCTAAATACACACAGACACACTAGTAAATGCAAGAAGATTCTCAGTTTGCCCTCATGCTTTGTGTATTATGTGCTTTTCAAACATCAGCAATAGGGTTATGATGGTGAGGAAATTTTCCCACCAGTTAATCGACGTGTGACAACACCGGTAATACCGGTATCACCGTGGGGGCGT